GGTAGCTGGGGTTTGGAGGCGGCTCCGGGGACCCCTCTTGCCACCTAAGGGTCAAGGGTTTCCAGTGATATGGGTCAGAAGAGGAATGGGCTCCGTGGTCTGAGAGGGGCTCCCGGCTTTGTTTATTCCCGTGAAGTGCGATAAAAGACAGTCCTCGTAAGCCCGTTAGATGATTTCTGCAAATTCTAGACCTTGGGCTCGCAGTTTTTGCACACTACGTGAATGTTAAATGAGTATTCGTGCAGACACTTATCTCCTTTTTTTACAGTCTGAAATAGCTCTCTCAGGTAACTGGAGTTGACTCTAAATGTGATTCCTGTGGGTTGACTGCTGTAAGCCTTATTCACGCAAGTAAGATCTATATGCATGAGTAAGATTTATTTTTTTTTTTCAGCAGAATGATTTTGCACGTTTCCACCCTGAAGTGTATAATCTTGGTTAGCTTTTGCAGAAGATGGGCTTGTCCGTTTCAGTTTGTGTGTGTGTCTGTGTGTGCGTGCGGTTGCTGTTAATTTTGGCAGCTCCTAAGTGATCGTTGGTAAAGGTCTCGTGTCTTCGTTTTCTTTGAGAATATATTAAGTTGGATGTGTGCCAGCATTTTAATTTTGTAGAAGCAACAAGAGAGACTGCCTTAGAAAAAGGATCGAGGAAATTATTTAGGTTTTCTAATGTTCATAATTTCCAGCCAATGTACTTTAAGCATTTCATTTTAAACTACAGGAAACAATCCGTTTTTGCATTTACCAGCATGTTGATTAATAATGGAAAGACAGATCTAAATCTAAATTTTGATGGTTCATTTAAAAGAAATGCTTTTCATTTCTTCTGTCTCACACACCTATTCACTTTTAGGAAAGAAGGATAGTGGGTGATGATTAGGTAGCTTTCTTAAAATTTGAATAAAAGAAACAGTTCTGTGTAGGCCAGCTGTAGAATAATGGACACACTGGGCACCTAGTGCATAGTCAAATGTAGAGCTGCGGTGCTGCCTCTTCTTTGTTCACAACTTCTTCTGTAGCCAAAGCATAGCGTTTCTAAATCTTAGTTCTGGGAGTCAGATGAATGTAACTCTAGTTTCTTTATGGTAGTCTATTAATACGTGACTTACTATGAAACATGTATTGACAGGGATTTCATATTTATAATGTACACCATTGATTGAATGACTTAATGCTTCATCTTTCTTTTTCTCATTAATAATCTGATTAGGGGAAGACTCTGGAAGGAATATGGAATTAAGGCATGTTCCCAGTGGGTACGCAGTAAAAAAGACACTGCAAAGCAGACAGTGTAAGAGGAATTTCCAAAAGTACTCATCAGTCAAGTCAGAGCCAGATTTTGAACACTCCTAGGCTTGTGTTTAAGTTCCAGAATAAATTGCTGGATTTTTGGTTCGTTCTTTTCAGTTCTCCAACTTTTTTATCCAGAGGTGGGGGACCTTGAGGGAAATGAATCTGTGTAAGCCAAGTGCTGAGTATTCAGCACTTAAGAAAATCAAGTCTTGAGCACTTAAAAACATCTGATCCTTGGGTCACAGTCATACCTCCCCCTATTTCCATTCTAGAGGCCTTTCCTTTTAATTTTTTTGACAGATAGAATTATAGTTGTAAAATGTAGCCACAATGAAGAAAGCCAGTAAAATTACTTTATTTTTTTTTCAGTGTAAAAGCCAGCAGGATTAATGAACGGTTCCATAAATACACACGATAAAATGCAAGATTGGTAATAGAAGTGTAAGTGGCACTTAATCTTTGAGCAAAAATAATAGGTAATGGCTAAAAATAGCATTTCCCGTTTCAACAATAGAGTTACATATTGTAATGGATATTAACCACAGCAAGGTAAATTGGTCCAGCGCTAAAGGCTCTGACCATTCATACCTGCTGACCTTCTGGCCTACTTCTTTATTTTCCGTTAAAGTATTGCACACTTGCATGATAATAAACCACAAATGCAAACCAAAAAGCTGTTCTTTAAAGGGAAAATTGGAGGTTTTTTGCTCCACAGTAGTGGCACTATAATTTCTAGAACATATTCTGATCTCATGTAGCTCAGTGCAAACTGCTGAGCTGTTTGCATGTTGTGCCTGGATTTACACAAGTGGTTGGTCTCACGTGTGGGCTGGAGCATCCTTGCACCAGAAAAAACATGGTTGGGTCTGGTTCTGATCGCTCAACAGCATATAAAGTGTTTCAACATCACTGCTAGGTAAATGCCCTCATATTGAGGTCAATGAAAAACTTGCTTCTCTGCTAGCCCTGGCCACAGCCTTTCAAGGAACTGTTGAATTATGAGAGCTGGTAATGATCTGCTCACATCTGTGGCCTGGGACTCGGACACTGAGTGCAAAGAGGAGATGAAAATGATGAATGCTTGTCCAGAAGCACTTCCTCTCGGTGGTGTTTGCTTTCCCTCTGGTTTCTTAGGCTAAGAATGGCGAGTCCGGGGGTGTGGAGACAACAGTGATTAATTAGCTAGTGCATATCTAGCCCTTGGAAGGTGGAAAACACTGTATGGAGATGATTTGAATTAAGTGCTGTTACTCCCTGCTATTAAAGAAATTGCTTGCCTGCCCTACATCTCAAGTTGGAGTCGTAGGGATTTTAAAGCATTATTTAAACTGTGGTTTAGGTCTGTTGAAGCAGAAGGACCAGGGGAAGTCTTTCAATAGGAAAAAATAATAGGTGAAGATTTTCTTGTTTAAGCCTTTTCTGCAGTAGCTGCAAAATCTGTGTATATGGAAGGGAGGGAAAGGGAGTCGAATGGAGCTGTGGTGTGAGGTAAAATTCTGATATTGTTCTCTCATGCCACCCCGCAAATACATTTGCATTTAAAATTTGCAGGCAAGCCAAACTAGGACCGGCGCAGAATGCTAAACAAAACCTGACAGCTAACTGGGAAGACGCCACATAACGGTGCCGGGCATTCCCTCCCTCGGACAATTGAGTTGAATATTGTTGCTTGTAACGATTGGAGATCTGAAACAAAGGCAGGTGCAGGAAAAAAATGGGGCATCAATTTTATTCTGAGCTATTTCATTTGAAAGATGTTTACTTTCTGTCACATTACCCTGTGACTGCTGGAAGACTCGCAGGAACTGTAAACCCCAAATCCCTTCCTGCACGTCAGCCAGCCACAATATACTCCTTTGTGTTGCTTGGGCTGAAATTCAATCTGCTTGGGAGGCCGACGAGTGGTTCGGGGCGCAGTTGTGATCTGAAAGATATTGGGTGTCACCAGGGAGGTACCCTTTATGCCGCTGGTGCGAGCAGACAAAGCAGCAGCTCTTTTTGGAGCAACTTGGTGATGCGTCTCCTGTACGGGAATAAAACGTATTTATGCTCATTGGTGGCGTGATGGAGAAGCCAGGATGATGACAACCGAGGAAAGAACACGAAAGGCATCAGAAGAGCTCGATGGGTTTTGCCTTTTCACGTGTAAAACTCTGGTGCCTACAGTTACTGGCAGTGAAATGTCCCTCTGCAGGCAGAGTGATGGTGCAGAACAATCCGAGGAGACTGAGGGGCTGGAGCAGGAAAATGAAATGGATTACAGGTTAACGTGTGTATTGGGTGTGAAAGAGCACACGCAAAGTCACGGGGCTGAAACAGATCAAGGGCCTGTGGTCAGGCGTGGCTGCTGCAGTGAAGCAGTAATACAAGGCAGCTCTGTTGTCCGTGATATCCCAGTTACAAATGGAAGAATAGCAGGCTTTACATGCGCAGTGTGGATGCGTCTGCCTTCCTGGCTTAAATATAGGACACCTACCTGCCCTTTGGAAGCCTGAGAGGGAAGGGAGAGAGCTGATGAGGAGGGCGAAGGAACTGATTTCTGAGGATTAAAATGAATGATTAAAAGGGCTTAATAGAGGTAGATAATCTAAGAAGCAAAGATACCAACAATTTCAGGTGTGGGTACTCAAGGGATAATCACTTAGCCTTTGCAAGAGGATGTAATTAGACTTAACGGGCTGCAAAAGAGAAGGTAACTTGAATATCAATAAAAGCTTCATGATGGGATGAAGCTGAATAACCTTCCATGAAAAAAATGCTGGTAGCAGTGTTGGTTGGGGTTTTGTAAAGCTTGTGGAACACCCTGGAAAATGTCCTGCAGGGTTGGCAGCTCAGGATCACATCTCCCCTTACTGAACTGTGCCCATGAATTAGGGTGGAGGTACAAGGCTCTTTAGTTGGCAGGCCAACTCCTCTGCTGTGAGTCAACTTCTCAACTCCTCTGTGTGGTCTGCTGCAAGGGACAGAGTCATTCTCTGCTCACTTGGATTCTATCCCTGTAGGGGAGGGAGATGGACTGGATGAATTAATAGATCTTATTCCGTCCTTAGCTCATAGGAGCCTGTGATCCAGGAAAATACGAATGCTTATCTTGCTGGTAGCTGAAATGCACGCTGTTATTTTGTAAAATGAATGCTATAGCGTCTCAGATGCATTTCTGGTCACATGCAAGGGAGGATGGGAGAAGGGATGTGATAGAAGACATTTTCCTGTGGGGAGCACAACAGGCCGGACTAGAAATATTGTTTGGTTTACATTGACTCTCTTCTTTTGTGTCCTTGGATCAATGTTGAATTCTTCTGAGGAAAAGCTAGAAAGCAACAGGCTCAGGGGTGTTTTCCTGCTCTAAGTTCCAGGCATTATCAGGGGGAAAAAAAGAAAGAGGTATTACTGAGTCCTGCAATAGGCACAGCATTGCATACTTGCTGAAATACGAAGAGCAACTTCAAAGGGGCGTGCAACTCTGCTGAAGTTGAAGGCAATGCACAGATTAGAAGGGCCGAGGGACAGGATCCAGAACGCACCACAGTTGGGCAGAGACTGCTGCTTTGGATCAGCTCTAGCAGTGCTTCAGTCCAAGATCTCATGTTTGCTTATGTTTGGGTTTAAGCAATTTCTTTGGGATTAAGGTGTTTTTTAGAGTGTGGTTCCAAGAGTATAAAGAGTTTGCAACTTTGAACTTAATTAGTTTTATGGTGTTACTGCATACTGGTGATACTGTCCTGTTCCTCTCTTCCTATATGAGGTGGGTCAGTTTGTGAAAAGTCTGATTAAAGACACCACTGTGTAGTATGATGTGTGATAGATAGCACGATAACATACCTCTCCCGGGTGGTTTGGTGTCTTAACTTAGAATCTTTCCTTCACTGGATTTCTTGTATCCCAGAATAAACTGGAGTTTGTATAAATTAGACATGCTCTTACTGCAGAGCAGGTGGAGTTATAAGTGCTCCAAGAGGGTATGTTGTTGCTAGTTAGGGAGGAATATTTTTATTCTGATTCATAGCGGCTGCTTTAAAAATTGGAGGCAGTTTGGCTATCTTCAGTGTGAACGGTTTA